GTGGGTGAATGATGACTGATGATTTTGAAATCCTTTCTGGAGCACACAAGCTTATGGTATACAGGAGAATGCAGGAGGCAATATCATTTGCTAAAACTTATAACAAGATAAATGTTGGGCCTGAACAAACACCACCATAACTTCAAAGACTCTGGGACTGCAAGGATGTTGTGAGAACCAATTTCACCAGTGATCTAATTAAGTACTTTTAAAGTTACTGAGGTAATTGGGCAAATATCAACCAATGAGCAATAAGCCAAAAGACATCACAAGAAGACAACCACTCTCTGGACTGAAGGTACGAATACACTGGATACATTGTGGTACTTATGCCACATAAACCTATGAAGATCCGGGTAAGAATTAGTCTCCAGTATAACAAGCTGGCTGTAAAAAGTGATTAACTGAATCAGGTCAGGCTTGCTGACTTGGTTGGCGCATGTTATTGTATCATTTAAAAACAAACAACCAAATATTGGTTCAGTGTAAAGGATTTGGGGCATCAGCGTTGTTCTCAATTGCCTGTAATAAAATGCCTTTTTCTGATGATCATAAGTTAAACGGTTCAACACAGCATGCCAGGATATAAATCTTTGTTTAAATTGTCATTGATTTCTTGGCAAGAAATTGTCCATGGTTTCCTCAGCCACACAAATTTGTCATCATGATTCACGATCATCCGTTTTGCAACCGACGCAATGCATAACTGAATTGGATCTTGGCAAGCTGAAAATCATTCATCAGATATAGAATATCTGCAAACCCAAGCCGTCGTTATGACTTCATGTAGCACTGCATCAGATTTAAGAGAACAAATGCCTGCTTCTGACAGATTATACTGAACAGAGCAGAGCAGTGCCGAAAATTATGACTGTAACTGTATTTCTCCTACACTACAGCTTCCTGATGGTACATGAATAATGTTGGTGTACATTATTTGTCTGTAAGAAGCCCTGGACAATGACACTAATATTCCAAATCCGTATGATGCTTTTCTGGTTTTGTATGAGTTATGTTGAGTTAGTCAGACTGCAGACAGCAGATGGTGATATAGAACAATATACAACTGCCTGAGCCAGCAGCCCTGTGGCTGCACCGTCCCACCCTAGTAGAATGGATTACCAATGGCTCATGCGACAACACCTGTAGTGAGTAGATAAGTGATTTCAATACTGCTTCTGTTATTATTCCAGCACCTAGTTGTAGGACATTATAATGGGTGTCACATCAAGCACCCAAACTGATGTCTTTGCTGTGACAATTAACCACTAGGTTACTCTGCCACACCCAGATAGAAATTGACAAAAAACAAACCCAGTTCAGTATGGCAACATGTACTGATAACTGAAGATAGTTAATGTGGTTACAGTGAGAAAAGTATTGCAAATAACACTAAAGAAACAATTTTCAGAATCATAAGAAATCTCTGCTCAGAACCTATTCCATTGAGTGATACTGACTATAGCCTAATCATGGTTTTACACTTTACAGAAATGTGTGTCCAGTAAGAACAAAATTTTATATACATACATAGAATAGATGCAGTGTTATGTCCTTAAGTTGTACAATAATATTCACAGCAGAAAATTCTTAACAAGATCTGCAATCAAAGTAATTATAAAATGTTATGGTACACTTTTCTTCACCATTATATTAGTTTATTAGACCCACTATTTCCCCTAACCATGAAAAAAAGTATTTGAGTTCCTCAAGACCTTACAATAGCAGGTTCTACATAACTTAAAAGGATAATTTGCATTATATATCACTTTCTTCAAAATTCAACATACCTAACAAAAAATCTTTACACGATAACATTTAACATTTCATTTCTAGGGATCACTTTCATCCAGACATTAATGGCGTCTAGTGGCGATATTCCTGACATTGGTATTTCATATGCTTCATCTATTTTCTTATTGTACAGTGAGTATGTAATGACATTTAAATCCAGCTGTTGTGTCTTTTCAATAACCAGCTTTCTTTGGACAGTTAAAACATCAAATTCTGCAGAACATTTGGGATTTGGCTAGGTAATAAATCGTTAGATTTTAATCCCTACCTGCCTCAGATATCAATTTATTGATGCAAATTTCCAACAGAGAAACATTTCTTAGGGTTTCCTTCTTTCTTCATTTGATTAAACACACATACAACTCATTCTTCCAAATACAATGTACCCCCAAATCATGGGAATTGCATCTGCTGACAGTTTAAGTACATGACTTGAATGGTTTGTTTGGAATACTGAAAATAAAATGTCAAATGAAAAACAGATGAAAATAAAACATATTATTTTAGCTTTCTTCTCAACACATTCATTGCTGGAATCCAATTTTAATATTTATGTCTTATCCCTTTCCTGAAAAAACATAATTGGTCCAATCATGTAAGTTACAGCTGTGCAGAGTTGTTCCCCTTGAGCATGCCAGACATGGTTGTTGGTTCGAGGGAGTTTAGTTTTATGCTGCTTTTAGCAATATTCCAGCAATATCACGTCGGGGGACACCAGAAATGGGCTTCACACATTGTACTCATGTGGGAAATCGAACCCGAGTCTTCGGCGTGACGAGCGAACGCTTTAACTACTATGCTACCCCACAGCCCGGTTGTTGGTTTGAAACCCAGGTCATCCTGGTTCTGTTTGTAGATGTATCAGCACCAAACCAGTTTTTTTAGACATGCATCACTTCAGGCGTTCCTCTTCAGGATAAGACGCTGCGATATTAACTGGAGTACCGTTAACAGCAGCTTTAAACCCATCTCACTCAGTCGAACCAACATGCTTATCTATCTATCTATCTGGCCTCACACATGAATGTTGTTTTCTGATCGGCTGAGCGCTCTTCATGATGGAAAGGAGATAACTAAATATTCTTGTCGCCTGGTACTCCATACTATGATCCTGATAATTAAGTGCTTCAAACAGTTAAAAAATAGCATTGAGGAGTTCGGTAAGGTAACACGTTGTTCATTGGTCCCTTGGGGCCCATAGGTTCATGTACCCCTCGATGTTTCTTATATGTTATAAACAAACATGAGGGTATATCAGCCCATGTCCCCCTCGAGACCAGTGATTAATATATATATATATAAATATAATCATTACAGTGTTTCAGTTCAGTTTAATGTGGGACAAATACTTGATGTCAACAACAACAATGATTAATTTATATAGTGCAAAACTTCCAACTAAGTCAAAGAGCACAGTGGCCCTGTGAGGAACGTGTGCAGATAGGCTTCTCTGAACAGGTGTGTCTCATAAGAACAGAAAAAGTCGGAGTTTGTTTAATTTCTGATGAAGAGGTAGCAAGTTCCAGTCCTCGTTACAGTTAAATGTGATAAATAGGTAGTGTGTAGGTTGTAACTTGGCTTCTGTGAGTTGAAAGTAGAAATTGATGATACAGTACAACCAGAAATAATTGAGAATTTAAAGATTGTAATTTTCATTATTTTTTTCACTCATTACTCAAGTATTAATGTGAATATTAGCAGAACATAACTCCAGATTCAAAGACAGGTGAACAGTTAGTATTTTGTCAAGTCACCATGGGCAGCAATGTAGGCTTCAATGCCGCGGGCATACTACTCATCAAAGAAATTAAAAGTCGTGGTCCATGCTGTTCCAATATCGACCACCTCTTCTTTCATTTCAGCAATATTTGTCAGATTTTTCTTATTGACACTTTCCTTCATAAGTCCCCAAACATTTTCTACTGGATTTAACGGGCCATTTTTGGTCCTAAACCATGCCTGTGAATGCTTTGAACGATGTTTTTGGTCGTTGTCCTGCTGGAAAATCCAAAACTTTCCATAGAACATGTGAGCAGATGGAAGTAAATGTCCTCGAGAATATCTGTGTACCGCTCACTGTTCATATTCCCTTCAAATACACAGAGAGGGCGTTGCCCCTAACACAGATATGCCACCCCACACATTAAATTTCGACTGTACTTTGGGCTGATACAAAGGTGTTTCAGTTTGTTTGGTCCAGAATTTCAGTGTATTAGGAAACAGCCACACAAGAACTTTCATCTGAGAAATCACATTGTCCCAGTTAAAATTTCTATGCTGTAAGCACCAGTTCAACCTCCGCTCCTTTGTTCAGGTTTCATGATCGGGTGATGAAATTCCTCGACTTTTCTGCCAACCCATTGCATGCAGCTCAGTTCTAATTGTCTCCTTACACACAGTCACAGTTCCTCTATCAATCATATCCAGCCTTAAGTTTTCTAAACTCCTTCGTTTGTTGTTAGAAACAAGAATACCGCCACCTCCTGTATCAATTTTCTGGACCTACCTGCGCTTCCCCTGGTGCTCAATGCCATATCCATTTGCAATATTTTCTTTCCAAACGCCGCCATAAACAGTGGACAAAGGGATGCCTGTTCTAATTTGAAATCACTTTGGCTGGGATCTGACGTCCCTTTTATGATCCATACTGAGGATCACTGAAAATGTCGTCTGCTAGCAAGTAAACAAAGGGGGATAACTCTTCACAAACTAATGAAAAAGGATTAATGGAGTTGTCTCTCTTGAATGAAACCAAGCACTTGATAGCTGGTCAAGGTTGTTTATACTAGAAATCCAATTAAACATACAGTCAAATCCTGATGAGTCGAATCTTTGGGGACCAAGTAATAAATTCGACTTACTTACCGTGTATCTCGAGACATAGGTATGGCTATGAGGGTAGAAAAAAGGTGATCCAGTCCTAATTCCTCTGCCTAAGCATTTGTTTATCTAATGATTTCCTATAACTAATAGGGGCACCTTATTAGTTCCAGTCTGATTAGCACAGACAATGATTTCTGTAAAATCACTAATCTGCCTTTTTGAACTCACCTGTCAAAGGCGGAAAGGTGTGAGCCGCTAGCTGGTTTGTTAATTGATCAGTTTGTTACACCAATCAACTTCTCATTGACTGACTTCGCTTATGTACACAAGATTGCTGTTGTTTGAATCTCATGGGACCAAATTTCTTCTCGAGTCATCGTGTGTATTTATGAGACGAATTCGTGTAACCGTATTCAAATGATGACAACTATAACAGGGAATGGTCAGGACCAACAGGTACTTTCCGAGTTATGCACAATATTCGAGACACCGTCATTCAACTCATCGGGGATTTGACTGTATTCCTAAAATTTCAATAATTTCTGGTCATACTATACTTTGGATACTGAGGATGGTGAATGGCATTGCAGGTATCGCTATACAGCTTGAATTTGATGTTTACCTGTTGGACCAATGAAGACTCCTGTGTCCCTCTGTGTGTGTGTGTGTGTGTGAGTGTGTGATCTGTCTAACAGATCAGCATCTACAGACTGTAGTCTTACATGCTTCACAGATCTCTAAGCCATAATGACAAGAAATGAGACCTGAACTTCACCTCCATTAGGAACTAGTGGTGAGGTGGAGGTGAGGTGAGTTGGAGAGGTGAGGTGATGAGGTGAGGTGGAATTGGCGGCTGCCTGTCGCTGGAGAATATAGTGCTAGCCCACTGAGATACCATGCCCCAGTGAAGCATGAATACCCCCACTCAGACACATTATACTGACTCGAGCCGACCAGTCCTTATTGTACCCATTAATGCCGCAGCTAGCAGGAACCAACAAGTACCATATTTTAACGCTCTTTTGGTATGATGCGGTCGGGTTCGAACCATTGACCTTCCGGGCTCGGTCCGGCTGACGCTTTTAACCACTACACCACGGAGGCAGTCATTAGGAACTAGAGGTCACTTTCACAGGAATTTATTGTTAAATGATGAACCTGAGAAGTTTTTATATTATATACTATTCACACTTTGCTAAGGATCAAACCATTGATTCAACAGAAAACTATGATGTGGGGTCTAATTTGTTTTAAATATCTAAGCTTATTGTAAGCATGGATCCTAGGTTTCAGTATGCCACTGCATCTTGTGGATCCCATACCTGCTATTTACAGGTGTTGTGTACTTGTCAATGACTCGCCATGATTTGCAAAATGGTTGATTGGTGCAGTGAAAACAATTTTTATGGTTACGCATGTTTCAAGTGCATAAGGTTAGATTAAAGTGGCTGTTTACCTAAAGAGGGGTTACCATATCATTATTTATCTAGTTTTAAATTGATACAATTTCAAATTATAAATCTATGTGTAAGTAAAGTTGGTAACTTTTGTGATCCTTAGCAAAGTGTGAGTAGTATATATGAAATGCCTATAAACAGCAATGTCATGGTTATTACTTTGTTTGTTCGTTGTTCCACTCACGAATATTCCAGCTTTACCATGGCAGTCTGTAATCCAGTGTGGGACAGACAACACAGTGACTGACATCTTGAGCATCAACCTTCACACCTGAGATACAATGGTATGCACCAATACTGCTTCTGTTAAGTCAGCAAGCCTGATCACCTGATCCTATTAGTGGCCTCTTTGGCCAAGTATGTTTTGCTGAAGACCAACTCTTCCTTGATCTTCACCGCCTCTTTGGTGTGGTTAGATTCTCAGAGAGCGGAGTCGTCCGCCCCCGCATGAGCCAAAGAAGGTCAATGGTTCGTCCCCATCAAGGCCATACCAAAAGACGTTAAAATATGGTACTTTGTTGGTCCCTGCCTGGCGCCACATTAATGGGTACAATAAGGACTGGTCGGCTCGAGTCAGTATAATGTGTGTATGAGTGGGGTATTCTATGCTCACAGCTGCATGGTATTTCAGTGGGCTAGCACTATAAAACCAGCTTCCAGTCTGGGCTAGTACAAGCAGCCGCACCTACACATACACACGCATGCACGCCATCATATGAGCAAAATATTCTCAAGCACGATGTAAATCCAATTTCAATTCCTCACCTCACCTCCTTGATCCTCAAAGGTTTAAGGACAACGACAGGGATTTACCTCGAGTCCTGTATTTGAGGGTCCCGGACTCATGCTTATTATTTTCTACTGTCGTGCCCGTTTATCCGAACCTCAGATATCTGGAAAACTTCGCCTTCGAACGAAAATTCATTAAAACAAATTCACAGCGTTGTAAAACTACTCACTTAACCGAATCCGGTTTCCGTAACGGATGGTCATTTTCACATACCAAATGCTAAATCATATGCATTTTTTTTCTCGTATATCCGGATGGCTGAGCACCTGTCAGTATGTTTACAGCGATTTTACCGAGTGGCCTTGCGTGCCCTAACATGAAACAAGGGTTACAAGCCGGCATTCTTTGAAGGGTGAGAGGATTAACTGCCCTTAATTAGCAAGGTGACACTGAGTTAATCTTGAGGCCTGTCAATTGTTATTGGCAAGGCTAGACGTCCCGTTGTTTTGGCAGTGATTTCAATCCGAGGTTTATGTTGGGTACAGGAACAATGCAAAAGCGTGGATGACATCAGAACTGTTTAAGTGATTGGTTGCTAGCATTTGACAGACAGATGAGATTAACTTCTACTGTATATGAAGCTCTTTGTGATTTCAAACAAGCCGGGTTGTTGTGAATGAGATGATTGAGTGTTAAGTGACTATTAAGCTTCATGATGTACTGGTAAATAAAATCTTAATGAATAAATAAAATACTGCTGTATTATTTCTTTCGAGTCGTTTCATGGTAATCTGTTTTGTATCAAACCATCTGTCATGTGACCAATTTCCATGGCGGCCACAACACACATTGCTGTTTTAAGCTAATTCGCGATGGGATTTGGCTCATTATTTAATTATGTTTTGGGAAATCCATTACAGCGACAGTTAAGTATGATTCTTTATGCTACTATCAGTCGTCATTTTAAGATTCCCGTAGATTTCTGTCTTCAAACTTGATGTGTTATGGTAACAACTCAGGGGCGAGCGTGGCTAGACTGAATGAATGACAGGTTTATTCGTGGTGTATTAATTTTCGGCTAAAATGTTTTACGCGAAAATAAAACCTGCGCGAAATATAATACGTTTACAGTATTTGTTATTTGTTGATCAATAAAGAATACGTCTGAGGCTTATTATGTTCGTTTGTTTGTCTGTCTTTTTCCATATGGTCCTCGGTTCAGATATCCGAAAATTCGTTTATCCGAACAATTTCAAGAAAAACACAAGTGTTCGGATAAGCGGGGGACGACTGTATTTCACACCCAGGTTAAGTGTGGAAACTTTGTGTCCTGGAAATGTTACCATAGTATAATGCATCCATTTTTTACATCATAATCACAGTTTCAGATAAAGAAATGTTGGGATCTGACAAATTCTTTCATACCTGTCTGAATAAATATACTGATTGCATGAACCAGGAGAGTTCTCTGTTGGACATCAGCCACTTCTCCAAGGAGTCTGGTCCAGTTGCTCGTTTACTGCTTGACATGCTCTTATCTTGATCAGAGAGCTTTCAGATACTGATCTTCAGGCATGAACATATAACACGGGTCATTGCACAGCCAGTAAGAATTGTGCCAGGAAGATGTCAGTTTAGTGAAGACTGCTGTTATTTCTTATCGTTCTTTGCCCTTGTATGACCTTTGTGATATGATTTCTCGAAAACAAGTCAGGTGAGCTACAGAGTCCTGTGTTGATTGAGCCAGGGTATCGTAAAAACCAACCTTCCACTCCCCCTCCATCCATCACAAAGTACACTGAAGAAGCTGGACCATGATGAGGTCCAGATGTTCATCACTGAAGCTGGACCATGATGAGGTCCAGATGTTCATCACCAAAGCTGCTACCTTAAATATATGTTGTGAATGTGATTGATCAGATGTGGATATGGATGATAGATTCTTTTGACCATTATATTAATTCACTGCTTAAAACAAATTTGGAAAATAAGAAAATGATGCAAACAGAAGTGACTTTAAAATTCCATTTTTATAGACATTTGGGTTTTTTCAACCTGAAAATAAGATGAAATCACTTTCTTTGCAAGCAAATCTTTGGGACAGAAACCAGGATGACATGCAAATGGAAATGTTACCAGCAGACTTCATGGCTCTATTTCCAACACTGGATAGTCCCCAGTGAGTGTATAGATTTTGTTTAGTTTCCTGCCTACCTAGTCAGAATGAACATACTATGAAAGTTGCCATTCCTTCTTTTGTTGCAGCAACCAAGATGAACATATCAATATTTCATCTAAATTCTTGGCAGGTTTAATCATGCGTATTTTAAGTTGAGTGAATTATGTGCAGATATTCTGATATGTAATGACATATTTATGTGCAAGGTCCCAGACCCTAACTGTATGTTTATTACTGGAATAAGCTGACTCTTTGTAGGAATTGATTTTGGCATCACCAACAGGTAAATATTCTCTTGAAAAGTGACGTGAAAATCATTATAACCAGAGGACAACAGTTTCAGTTAAGTGGATTTCACATAAGCAGCCTTAATTTTCTTTTTTTGTCTACTTTTTCTTATCAGAGATGTGTGTTGGGTGAGTGAGTCAGTGAGTGAGATGAAATTGGGTTTTACGTCGTGCTTAAGAATATTTTTCGCTCATATGACGAGTGCATGCGTGTGTGTGTGCGGCTGCTTGTACTAGCCCAGACAAGCTGGTTTTATAGTGCTAGCCCACTGAGATACCATGCCACAGTGAAGCATGAATACCCCACTCAGACTCATTATACTGACTCCCGAGCCGACCAGTCCTCGTTGTACCCATTAATGGCGAGCGCCAGGCAGGGACCAATAAGTACCATATTTTAACGTCTTTTGGTATGACGCGGTCGGGGGTCGAACCCGCGACCTTCCACTCTCCGAGCGGATGCTTCAACCACTTCACCACGGAGGCGGTCGAGTGAGTGAGTGAGAGAGAGAGAGAAAGAGAAATGGGTGTTGTTTGGAGTGGCAAACTACATTTCGTTCATGACAATGTAAGCAAGGTTCAAAGTTTGAAAATGATAAAGCGACTTAAGAAACATCTGTGAATGTTGGCATTAAACAATTAGAATTGGTTACTTTTTACATTATTTTGAAGTGTTTTGATGGGTTTCAACTTTATAAAGATAAACTTATCAAGAATTTTATTGAAATACTGCAGATTGTGATGGATCAGGATTACTGCTGATCATGAGCAGACATCCTGAACCAGATATAATACTAAAACAGGATCAATCACCAATTTCAGGATTCCTTCATAGAAATATGTCACTATTCTTGATTCACATGATTCAACCACATCCACTTGTAGACATGACGTTCCGTACTCTTCGCCGATTCAACCATGACACAACACAAGTATGGTTTCACAGTTTTATTCCAAGGATTTGACAGGAAAGACCACACCATAACACTGAAGTTGGAAGGGGTCATCACACATCATTGCAACATACAGTTTTACTTGATAAGCAGAATATGGATAACAGTCATAATCATAAAGTACATAGGATCGTATACATAATTCATTTTCATAACATGCTTTTCCATACCACCAAATAATCAAATGCATTGCAATAGAGTGAGTGAGTATGGACTTAAGGCGCTTTTAGCAATATTCCAGCAATATTATGGCAGGGGACACCAGAAATGGGCTGCACACATTGTACCCATGTGGGGAATCGAACCCGGGTCTTCGGTGTGACGAGCGAATGCTTTTAACCTCTTGTCTACCCACCACCAACATTGCAATATAAATAAAGCGTCACTCAAATATGCAACTGTTACTAAATCTGACAACATTACAATGGTATTTTGAAAAATATCAGGTGTTCCTTTACTTCAGTGACCACCGCCACATACATATAGCTGGAATATTGCTGAGTGCATCGTTAAACAACAAACCAAACAACCTTTACTTTAGTATATATTCAAACAATATATTATTGTACATTTGCTGAGATTAAACACAGTGCTGGAAATGTCAATGTATGGGTTAAGTAATACAGAGATGCTTAAAAAGATGCATATACAGTACAAGGGCATACACCACTTTCCCTATTTATATCACGTCATGTGAATTTGTTTTACAGTGGAATCTCTCAAATCAGGACTGTGTAATCTGGTCTTCTCCATAATCTTGACTACTGAGTCCCGGCCAATTTTTCCCTTATTTATCATTAATGCTTACTTTATAATCCGGACTCTCTCAATTACAGATTACAGACTAAAATAACAGTCCAGACAATCAACTTGCTATGAGTACAATCTTTGTAATCCGGACGTAGCTGACTATAACAGCCCGTTGAATAAACATCTCTGTTACTGGTTATTGACTGAAAACATTGTATTACGTGGAAATTTACAGAGGCAGAAGCAATTCATGGTAACAGACTTTTTCCAATGAAAGTATAAATAATATATTGAGTATAAATAAAAACAACAACAAAAAAAGAACGATTCAAGTTGTTGGTTGTCCTTAACAAAGGGAGGTAACTCATCATGGCAGTGAACATGGTAACGGACAAAAGTTGTCGAATCCAGACAAATGAGTCGGTTCCAGGCCTGTCTGTAATAGACAGATTCCACTGTATTCTAAATTGATTGTGTGAATGTTTCAGAAAGATATGGTGCAAAGTTGTTGATAGCTTTCCCTGCACATACTGGTGAGCCCCCCACAATACTGTAGGATATTCACATGGAAAACAGGTTCATGGTCCTTGGGAGATAATACCTGTGACAAGGGAGGTAACTGCATAAGTTCAAACTAACTAACAACTGCAATCAAAGTTCTGCATGGCAGCCATCATTAATGCAAATGTTTACCCACCAGAAGGATTGCTGTTTCATGTAGATATTGTATATCTGGCTTTAAGCTTTACGTATTGGGTTAAGTGTTTTGTGAAGATACAGATGGAATTGATATATCTTTGTGTGCACAATAAACTGCAGCTGTGCCAAATGATTTGTTCTGAGTTTTACAGCTGTGGAAGCACTGTGTGGCCAAGGAGGTAAAAGGGAGTATTTCACTCAAAATGATGACAAGAGGATGTGATGTTTACATACTTGACACATTAATTTTAATGCTTTTAATAACAACAAAATTTCAATAGACAAACTTAATGGATTACAACTTCTTGCACTGTTGTCAAAACAAAAACCTTTGTGTCAACAGTACAAGAGTCTGTATTGAAACTAACTCATGAAATAAAGAAGATGTACTCCATAAAGTTTGGCTATACTGTACTTACTAGCTTCTAAAATGCCACTCAAAGAAACAAAACATCATATTTAACAACTTCAAGGCCTTTTCATGTCTTTGGGAACATACATGACACAGCTTCAATGGTGGGCAAAGGACCCTGATCAAAAAAGAAATGGGCCAAGGATAACATGGTCATTTAAGTGGATCTTAACATTTAATGTCTTTGCAAGAATAAGCCTATGTGTTTCTGCCTGTAAGCAACCAGATGGTACCTTATGACCAAGAGTTGAAATCACCAAGGTGGCAGAAACCTTGACTGACTGAGTTTAGTTTTACGCCGCTTTTAGCAATATTCCAGCAACATCACGGCAGGGGACACCAGAAATGGGCTTCACACATTGTACCCATGTGGGGATTCGAACCCGGGTCTTCGGCGTGACGAGCCAACGCTTTAACCACTAGGCTACCCCACCACCCCGGCAGAAACCTTGAAGAGTATATCTGTTCTGATAGACATGGAAAGTTTAGATAATGATAGTTGACCAGCATACAGGAGGATGGACAGAATATGGGACATTAAACAAGGTGGGAATTGGATACGGTTCAACAATCTTTTGGATGCTGATATTTTTTGCTGATGAATTGGGGAATGTTTACTTTCATTTTCTGCAGACAAGATTCAAACATCAGCCTCTGATTATATCCAGATAAATCCCCACCAGACTTCCCTGCCCCCCAAACAAATAGTCACAAGAGTGCATTTCAATCATCTCACCATGGGAAAACAGCTTCTCATCAATTGGTTGTATTAGCAGAAAAACGATGGCTGAAGAAGTCCTGCAGAACCAACATCTGAGTATCTCCCATTTGATGCACAATTCTTGTTCAAAACTAGATTAGTGTACTTGGCCAAGAGTGATCCCTCAGTAAAAGTTCACAGCTGAGGTATGTGACCAGCTGTTTAACAATGCTATCATGTCAGACCACCAGAGCTCTTAAATTGAGTGAATTGGATTTAATGTCACAAGTCTCATTTGCCCTAAGTATCAAAAACTATTTGTTAAAAAAATGTACAGATCTAAAAACACTCAGCCACAGCACCTTTTTCTTAACAAAAAAGTAAATAAAAAAATTAAACTGATAAATGAAAACTTCCATCCAAACACATAATATTTAATTTTGCTGACTTAGGTATTCTTCACAAAAGGTGGCAGAAAAACAAATTGGTCTGCCCATCCCCAAAAGCATTCTAGTAAGTGGAAGCAATGCTTCATAAACTGACTTCAAACACTGTAGAAATAACATGAAGAACAAATCATGTCGGTCACTGTCTATTTTGGTTAGTGATACACCTTATTTCCTCTCCGAGAGCTGCATCAATAGCTGTGAAACATGTACACTATGGGGGAGTAAGCCAGGTGTTAAAGCGATATGCTGACCAACTGACATAGATGTCACTCAGGGCATAATTACTGGTGTACTTCATGTTCATGCCATGGAGAACATGTCTCAGTAGACGGGGAGGAACCAGTGAAGTAGCTGAAAACACTGTTAGCCCTCCTGGGTGATCTCTGGAATTGTTATTGCTTTTGTAAAACCATCAACACCATGCATATAGTTTCAGAAATATTACCGTATTACCTCTATTATTTTCTATTTTCTGTTAGCATGTTCCTCTTGTCAGTGTTAGGTCACAATGACTTTGTGTGCTGGCAATTAGGTACCTGACTCGGACTGAAGGTTAAAATCCTGGATGGGGCTCAACCTAATGAAAGTTAGTAGAATCCGTACTTTACTTAAAAAGTGCAATCCAAATTATAACGTTACATTTGAACACTTTCGAAATGATGGGTATAACAGATCAAAATTTCATAGGAATGATTACTGGTTTGACTTCACTCCACATCACTCAGGTTAGGTTTGATGCTATTTTGAACAGTTTTTATATCATATCATGGCATACCAGCTCAATGTCGGGGGGATCATTTATCACTTAGCTGAAAACATGAGTTTTCGTAAGGTGGTAACAGATCTGAAAACAATCTGGATAAACATCGATTTAAAACCAACAGATTAAGGTTTCTTGAATGCCAAAGGGAATTGGGGCAGCCCTGATGGCTTAACCTATTCCCTCCGATTAATTCATCTATGGAACAAAAATCAATTAAAGGTATGCTCACAAAACAAAGTGATGAAGTCAGGGTGCTGAAGAGGGAAGTAAAGTATTTTGTCTATACAACAATGTAAACGTTGCTTATCCATACATCAGCTTGTGAATGTAAGCACAAGTCAGAGCTGTCAAGATTAACATGATATGGATCACATGAGACATATTGTCTTCCGAAGTCTATCACCAACAGAAGGTTTCTGTAAACTTTACCTGGAGCAAGATATTTCAGGCACAAATAGTTACGAGGCCAAAGCCAATAAACCAAGTCTAACAGAAGTAACCTGTGTACACATGATTGAAAAGTGTAAGAATAGATGAAAGAAAGTCAAGGTCACAGGATCAGTGACCTAAATTTTAAATGGTGGCAAGAAGGATTACAGGCCAGTTTTTTCTGAGCAAATAATGTAAGTTGTAGCATTGTGATGAGGGGTATAGGTGGTTTCATGTGTCCTATGTTAGGTTTTATCCACCAAGCCAGAGATGAGGAGGATAAAACGTAACAAGGGATGCATAAAACCCTGTATGCCCCGAATCATAACGCAACAACAAATTTATCTTACTGAATGTTTAAATCTCTCATTTTGTAAATGTATGAAATTCAATCATACATTTTACTAACATGGTTCTGACTAATCGATCCGAACCACTGGTTCATGGTTCAAGACTGCCACAGATGCATGCTTTTCCCCCATTGGGCAGGGTATAAATTATTTATTCTCCGTCGCAAAGATTTATACCCCCGCTTGGGTGGTGTATGACCGTGCACTGGGCATACATGGTAATTTGTTCATGGTCACGTGAACCAATCAGAGATGGGTATTCTTACATGAGATAGGATACAGTCTTTTTCAAACTCCCAAAAACACTTTGGTATAAGGCAAATGAGGAATAAATCAAATACTTTCAACCAATGCCAAAGAAGGGGCTAAAACGTATTTGAAAGCTTTATGCTGTGGCAAGCAGACAAGTGAACTTGAGGACTTGAACCAAAAATCAATGACTAATATGTACACATATTAAATCAAAATGAAACAAACACAAATTTGACCAATCAGCACAAAGTCTGACATCACAAGGAATCCTTTGTAGTACAATAAAAATTAAAGAAAGTCCTACATTCTTAAGTGAAAGTTATTCTATCTTATTCTGCATATTCCAACCTTTAATAAACCAAAAATTAAAGGTTGATGGGAGTAATGCTGATGCAATAGAGGTGGTATTCTAAGAATTAACAACAGTCATAAGTATTGTTCTCATAATTCTTCTGAATCCATCACTGTTCATTTCCAGATCATCAACATCTTCAGACCGGATCCTTCCTCAGCATCAGCAGGTCCCACTTAGATCAGTCAGTGCTACTCAGACCTCAAACACTGACAGCAAATACACTGAAGCTGAATGACAAGATAACAGAGGCACTCCTTACCGAACCGAGTCGAAAACAAAATACACAGCTTGACAGCATTACAGTTGGAACAACACCAATTCCTCTTGCCAGCTCATCCAGGAACCTGGGAGTCACACCGACTCCCAACTGACTATTGAGACCCACGTCGCAAATATCTCCAGAACTTGCTTTTTCATTCTAAGGAACATCAGCTGTATCAGAAAACACCTTGCCACCAGTGCAGCTATAACCCTCATTATCTCTCTCATCATCTCATGTCTTGATTACTGTAACAGTCTTCAATAATGCTCCCAAATCTCTGATCAACAGACTTCAACATGTTCAAAACACAGCAGTACGAATTGAATCTCTAGCTCCTAGACAGGCACACATCACTCCAGTACTCAAATCTCTTCACTGGCTTCCAGTTCACTTCCATATCAAGTTAAAGCTCCTGTCCCTCACATTCCAATGTATCTCTGGATCAGCTCCAGTCTATCTCCACAACCTTCTTCAGATCTACCTGCCTGCTCAAACTCTCAGATCCCAGACCAAGTCTGTCCTTGTTGTTGCCAATAAGAACACTGTCAGCTACAGTCACAGATCATTTGCATATGCCGCAGCAACTGAGTGGAATAATCTGCCCCAAGATCTCAAAGACTCTCAAACCTTGTCATCTTTCAAATACCTACTAAAAACTTCCCTCTTCCAACAAGCTTTCCCTGACTGTTAATATTCAACCAGATTGTGCACTCTGAGCATGCTTATGTTTGGAAATAGCGCCACAGAAACGTACAGCTAAATGTGTCCAGTTGACGACGAAGATGTAAGGTGAAAATGGGATTTAATTTCTTCTTTATTTCCCTCATATATGATGACAAGCACATGTGTGTGTGGCTACTTGTAGTAGTCCAGACTTAAGCTGGTTTAATAGTGCTAGCTCACTGAGATACCATGCCGCAGTTAAATGTGAATATTCCACTCAGACACATTATACTGACTCCGAGCCAACCAGTTTTTGTTGTGCCCATTAATACCAAGCACCAGGCAGGGACCAACAAGTACCACATTTTAACGTCTTTTGGTATGACACGCGGTCGGGGAACGAACCTGCGACATTCCCCTATCCAGGTGGATACTTTAACTACTACAGCACAGAGCGAGTGAGTGAGTGAGTGAGTTTAGTTTTACACTGCACTCAGCAATATTCCAGCAAAGTGGAGGTGGTCTGTAAATAATCGAGTCTGGACCAGACAATCCAGAGATCAACAGCATGAGCATCGATCTGCGCAATGGGGACTGATGACATGTGTCAACCAATGAAGCAAACCTTGACCACCCCATCCCGTTAGTCACCTCTTACGACAAGCATGGGTTACTGAAGGTTCATTCTAACCCCCGACCTTCACAGGTACTACAGCACGGAGTCATTCTGACAGCAAAGAGGGCCTCTTGAAAATTTTAAAGATGGGTTTTGCTTCATTGATAAAAAAGCCCAAGTCTTTACGGCAATGATGTAATAGTGGAAGAGGATCCACAAGAATATGCAAAGAGATGTCATAATGAATCCAGAGGCAGACGTTATGGTGCAGTCCTGATAGGGTCTCATGCACAAAGTATATACATACAGTTCTGTCACCTACAATAGGGACTTCTTTTACTTATTTAATGGAAATTATTGTTTTTAATCAAGCTAGTTTAATGAATATGTCTATTTTAAAACTTTCTGGTCAAGGCTATAAAATACAAGAAATTTATCATTTTCATATGGCTAATATAGAGCCAATATGACAACACTGCAAGTAATGTGCCGTCATATTCAAGTTATTTCTTTCTCTTCACATATATCTGTTCAATTTAATCAATCATCACAGGAACACGAAAGCAAACTGCTGGATGTACCTTGGAAACACCACCACTGAAAGTACCAGTTTCAGCTTCAGTAAAAACTGAACATTAGTCTCTGTGCTTAAACTCTGCCCTGCCCACACATCTATGATGACAGCTAGATGAATGGGCTGTCAGTACCTCTGCAGCCAAGCGTCTGAATCAATCTGAAGCATTGTTTTTAGTCAAATTTTTGAATATACATTATGGCATAAAAAGTTTATGAAGATGGATAATTTTCAAATTTAAAGAAGTAATCCTCAAAATAATTAGGAAGGGTAAACTTATAATGAATATATGGAATAACTTTAGAAGTTTGATATGTAATTGCTGGTATTATAGTGTTATGAATTGCCTGTACATAAAGAGATGAGAGTAGTATGGGACCAGCACATTTCTGAGGTGACGCAATATGGATGTGCCCCTCGAAAATGTACTGGCCCATGACGTATGACGTCACCAAAACAAGATGGCCATGTGCTGACCACACCCTCCTGGTGACCTCACCAAATCATGATGGTGACCATGACACAATACACCACACCCTCCTGGTGATGTGACAAACAAGATGGCGGACATGAAGGATTATGGGTGACGCAACCCCACAAATACGCGTTTTAACCTCAGAAATGAACAATCGTCAGGTATTAAAACGTTAAAATTAGGAAGAAGGCTAGTAAATGTTGTGCTGTCTATGTAACGCTCTCTACAATACGAGATGGTAAGACAGCGATATTTTACATAAAAAATGTATTCTGAGAGGTAGAAAATGACAAAGTAGCATTTGTCGTGCAACTTCCTGTATGATCCTTACCACCTAATCATTCGACAGAGAGATGTCGGTATTATAACGGGCAGTTTACTCCTTTCTCCATCCCTCTGGTGTTTAAGGGTAACCTGAACATTGTAGTAGGACATCTTTGTGAGGACGGTCAAAATATGCAACCACATCACTCTCTGGCTCTAACTTCTAGCGAACACGAATGGCATGATCAGTGTGACCGGAAGCTGTCAGTAACCGTACTTGATCATTCAAACATGGTCAGATGTGACCGGTCAGCGCAATAGTCTGTCATGTGTTGGTCATGAGGTATTTATCATGAGATCCAGTGAGATCGAGAGACAGACAGACAGACAGACACCTCGTGATGATGACGATGACTTAATGTATCTGAGCACGGCCCAATGAAAACTGTTGTGATCATGACATCTGATAGATGTATCACATACTTTGACACGGGAAAGTTAGGGTGAGGGAAATCTAGAGTCGGCACATACTTAAATATAAACCTGTAATCAACCAGTTGCTAGCTACATAGGCCTGTGATCGTTACAGCTGCCAATGTGAATTACAGAATGAATGTCTCTCTCACCACTACTACATTTCGTATGTATTATTACGAAGACGACGTGATCAATGTTGGGAAGGAGAAGGAAGAGCACCAAGGAGAAGAGGATGAAGACCAACACGGTATGACGGTGGGGTATGGTAGAGCTGCCGTGATTGGTCGGCTAACTCCACTGCGGGCCAATGGGTGTCAAGCTAACATCTCCCGGGTCAAAGGTTAGCGCACGGGGTATTTAAGGGCCTGCAACGCTCAGAGAAGTGGCTTGCTTCAGGATACCCTGAACATAGTAAGTAGGGAGGTCTTCCTCCTTTCCTATTAGGTATTGAGTAGGGTTGTTTTTCATGTAGAATAGGAGACTGACTGGTGGGTTGGGGGTAATGATAGTTTAGAGTAGGTTTTTATTTTGTAGGAATGAATTAGTTAGGGTTTTCTTTTTAGGCTTAATAGATTACGAGGGGTGAGTGAGTGAGAGGAAGTCTGGTATTTATTTTGTTAAGTTTGGTTCAGTTTATTTTTATTAACTAATAAATTGTATTTGTTTGGCGAACTTGAATTATGATATTTCTTTGCAAGAATCATTAGTCATGACTTAAACTATCATAGAACCTAAAAGAAAGGTTATAAAGGTTCCGGTTTCAAGGCAATAAGTCTACATCCACTAAAAAAAATACACAACGCAAAGTCTGCTACTGAAACCGTTCAGAAACATCAAACCTAGAACCTTACTGTCACTGGGTGATTCGCCACAACGGAGTCGCCTATTACAGATTTGGTGCCGTCATCTGGGTTGTTTTGTCATTTTCTTAGTGAAACCTAATTAATTCTTGTCAGAATAAGTAACATTGTTTCCGTAAAAAAAAAATACATAAAAAAAATCTCAAAACAAATAAAGTATTACATTTTGTAGTTTTATTATGTGAATCAAGGTCTGTTTCATCATACAGGTATATCCTGTTGAAACTGATTAGAGGTCATAAAGTACATTCATAGAGTACGTTTAGAAGCAGAATTGTAAAGATCTTGGTTTTGCAGCATCTATAGTTAAAAAAAAAAATGGCATCAGGGGAGACACGTGATTTATATTCCATGGCACATGATCAGGTTGAGTCCCCTCCAGATAATCTGGACCATGCTCTTATTGACTTGTCAGATTTAGGTCAAGTGGGATTTGCAACCTCTACACCTAATGTTTGTCGTTCAGTTGAAAACATTGGTTCATCTCATCCACTCCCAAGTGTTAGTACACAAACCGGTAATAGTGAGATAAGGGGTATTACATCATCTGTGAATGAAGCAATGCTGAATTTTCAGCAAGGGTCTGCTTATGGTAGAAGAAGTAGACAAGATGGCCGTTCTGTACATTTTGGTGTTCCATTTGCAGATAGATACTTTGACAGGAAGAATGAATTCTGTAGATACAATCAGAGGGCACCTTCAGCAGCAGGGTTGGTTCCTCGTCCGATGTCGAATACTTCTTTGATAGATTCTAACTGGACAGGTAATAGGGTTTATCATAGTGATGGTGATAGCGCATTTGTGCAACTATTCGTGACGAAACCTACCCATCGTGAAGTTAGACCGGATACTTTTGATGGTAAAAGTTGTGAATGGCCGGATTTTCTTGTTCATTTTGAACAAGTTGCTGCATGGAATGGGTGGTCTAGTGGAGAAAAAGCACAACAGTTAACCATGTGTTTACAAGGTACAGCTCAAAAGCTTCTCAGTAGCCTTACGCTATTACAGTTGAGTGATTACAGTGCAATTAAAGCTGTACTAACTCAGAGGTTCAATCCTAGAGAAAGAGGTGTAGCTTTTCGGACTGAGTTTAGCAACCGTAGACAGGGCAAGGATGAGTCGGTGTCTGACTATGGTTACCAGTTGTGGAGATTGGCACTTTTGGCATATCCAGATGCCACCTTTATTTCACTTGAGCCACATGTCATAGACCAGTTTTTGACAGGGTTGTCGAATTTCAGTATGAAGAAACACATTGCATTTGCACATCCCCAAACATTAGAGGATGCAATTGCTCATGGTGTAGAGTTTGAAGCCGTTGAGGGACATAAAAGCAGGAAACCTGAAACGTGTGAGCGGATTGCCAGGGTTTCCGAACCAGTGTCAAATGAGGGTTTGACTGTGGATGCTGTTGTCAAGTTGATAGATCAGCGTTTAGAAATATTTGCGAAATCTTTCCAGAGGCCAAGGAAATTTGCATGTTATGTTTGTCAGGATCCTGGACATATGAGAGATAAATGTCCACATCTTGCTAAGTTAGACTTACCTGGACCTGCTGTAGCAAAACCAAATGGGGGAAACTAAGTCAGGCTGGGATCGAGGCCGAGATTCCAGCCAATGTCAAGCAGAATGTTAGGCCGACTGAAAGTTGCACTGCAGGGAAGATGTCATCACATGTTGGAGAAATGCGTTCTAGTATGCGAGAGCCAATAGTATTGCGTGCTAGTACTAGTGGTAAATCACGTCTTTTTCTGGATATTGAGCTTGGGTTAGACATGTACAGTATTTGTTGATACAGGTTCTCCTGTTTCAATACTCTCATATCAGGATTTCCAGAAGTTGGGTCTCAATGATTCCACTTTGAGTGTCGTTGATAGGGACATTTTCACAGCGAATGGTACTCCGGTTCATGAGTATGGTTGTGCAACATTTGCGTTTACTGTTGGTAGAGCACAGTTTGTGCAAGAGTTTGTGGTTGCACACCTAGGACATTTGAGTAGTATCATTGGTATGGATTTCTTTGAGACTTATGATTGTGAAATCAAGATCAGAAAGAAGGTGCTTAGTACTTCACAGGGTAAGCTCAAGCTTTACAGTCAGAAAACATACAGCTGTTCTCGTATTCTTGTGCAGGACAAAGTTGTTGTTCCTGAAGGTGCAGAAAGGTTTATTGAATGTAAAATGGTAGGTCCCTTTTCATATGAACATGGTTTGATTGAACCAAATAACCAGTTGCATAGTAGAGGTCTTTTTGTGGCTAGGAGTTTAGTCAGACCTAAGGATGATAAGGTTGTGGTTTCAGTTTTAAACCTCAGTAACAAGGGAGTATCATTGAACAGCTCGTCATTAGTTGGTAACATCAGTGCTATGCAGGTGGTTGAGTGTCAAAATCAAGAACTTGAAACAGTCAAACAGGAACTATCTTCTCACTTGCAGCCTTTGATTGATAAAAGTTCAGAAACCCTTTCGGTTGAACCGAGACAGGCTTTGACTCACTTAGTTTCTGAGTTTGAGGATATTTTTGTTGGTGAGGACGGGAAATTAGGACAAACCAGTGTGGAAACTCATAGGAGTTAAGAATCCACAGTGTCCTGTTGTTTATGTTCAGTGGATGCAAGAAGATTTTCAGAAGATTTTTCAGTTTGCTTCTGACAATTTAGGTGTTGCTGCTGCAACACAAAAATGTAATTTTTAGAGTAAAATTGATATTTTATACTTATCCTGACTCATGCTTTTTTGCTTGTCTTCTTCTTCTTGCGAACATAGTGGAACACTTGTATCTCCCTAATTGAAGCTCCCTTCAATGTAAAATCACTAATTAGTACTCACCACGAGTTACCTCCCTTCCACAAGCGCGGGAACGAGGGCGCCACCTCCACCCATGTGCCTCACTCTCTCCTCATATACTGAGCCCAACATTTGAATTTACAGGGAAATCCAAAGTGTTATGTGGGGAGGATGGGAGGGCTTACCTCATGAGTCAGGATAAGTATAAAATATCAATTTTACTCTAAAAATTACATATTTTTCCTTATCCTGACTCATGCTTTTTTGCTTGTAGAATCCGAAGGAAAAGGAGGTGGGAATATATAATACTTTGGATTTTAATAATTAGTGATTTGAACTGTGATGATTGTAATAACCCTATGGGAACTTCATAAAGGCACTGAACTGATGAATTCCTGCTGCTAACTTATCAGCTGCCATATAAAGGTTATTACAATGTACTTATTATGATAAAGTATATATAACATTAATACAATGCTTAAGACTAATAGACTTAAGCTTGTTAATATGCTAGTATAAACTCCTTAGAGTTTGTTAGCTAAAATACTTTAAGATATAAACATAGTACTAAGCTTAAGATATGATTAAACTTAAGCTAATTATATAATAGCAAAACTCTTTAGAGTTTGTTAGTTAATATACTTATATGATATAGATATAATGCTGAGCTTAAGATATGAATAAGCTTTAGCTACATATATAATAGCAAAACTCTGTAGAGTTTGTTAGCTAATATATTTTTACAATATGAGTATAGTACTGTGCTTAAGATATAATTAACTTAAGCTACATATACAATAGCCAAAAACTCTGTAGAGTTTATTAGCTAATAGATTTATAATGTAACCATAGTACTAAGCTTAAGATAAGATTAGACTTAAGCTAAATGTATATAGCAAAAAACTCCTTAGAGTTTATTAACTAATATACTTTTATGTTATAAACATAGTACTGAGCTTAAGATATGATTAAACTTAAGTTATATATATAATAGCAAAACTCCGTAGAGAGTTTTGTTAGCTAATACATTTTATAATGTAACCATACTGCTTAAGATATGATGAAACTTAAGCTAATTGTATAATAGCAAAAAACCCTTTAGAGTTTGTTAGCTAAAATACTTATATGATATAAACCTAGTATTGAGCTTAAGATATGAAGGAAAACCTTAAGCTAAATATATAATAGCAAAAACCCTTTTAGAGTTTTGTTAGCTAATATACTTATATGATATAAACATAGTATTGAGCTTAAGATATGAAGAAACTTAAGTTACATATATAATGCAAAACTCCATATTTGTTTAATACATGTTATAATGTAACCATAAGCTTAAGATATGATGAAACTTAAGCCAAATATATAATAGCAAAAAACTCTTTAGAGTTTGTTAGCTAATATACTTATATGATATAAACATAGTACTGAGCTTAAGATATGAATAAGCTTAAGCTACCTATATAATAGCAAAACTCCGTAGAGTTTGTTAGCTTATATATTTTTACAATATGAGTATAGTACTATGCTTAAGATATAATTAACTTAAGGTCCGTATATAATAGCCAAAAACTCTGTAGAGTTTGTTAGCTAATGCATTTATCATGTAACCATAGTACTACTCTTAAGATATGATTAACTTAAGGTAAATATATAATAACCAACTCTGTAGAGTTGTTAACTTATATATTGTATGATGTAATAATCATAGTACTGTGATGATAAAAAGAACTTAAGCAAAATTATATATAGCATGTAGCTATTTAGTACTGTTATAAGATAAGTAGAAATCTGTAAGATTGACTTATCTTCTCCGAGGAACTGTCAACTGTTGTGTGAGGACCATGGGATCGAATTGGTGGATACCTGAGACGTCCTCGGTGGTGATATCTCTCAGATAATGGTTGGCAACCACCATATCGGATCTCCAGAATAAACCCTCCATTATTTCAAATAACATTTGTGTAGATCAATTGTAGAAGTTAGCGCTCTAATATCATGAGTATTAAAAGCTCATGGAGGGTCGGATTGGGTCCATCCGTCTTGTATGCACGTAGTATGACAGTTCTGATCCAAACGGAGATATAGTGCGTGAGACTTCATTCTGCG